TCTGTGGAAATATTTCTGACTAGTTTTCCCTACATCCCATTAAAAAGCGTGCCACCTCCTCTGCAAATCATGGCCTTCTAAAAATATTATTCTCTTGTTAGTTAAATTCACCCATTCCTTCAACCATACTAAAGAGGCAGCAATATAATACAACTCCCAATTTGGAAGTGCCAGTCCTCCCCTGCTCTTCATTGCCTTTAAATTTATTCTAGTTTTTTTCCCTTGCCAAATAAATTTAACAGTTATTTTGTTGAGTTCTTCAAAAAAAAATTTGTGTACTTTAATTGGGATAGTCTGAAATAGATATACAAATTTTGGAAGAATATTCATTTTGATGGCAGCGATCCTGCCTAATAATGAAAGTTGCAGCTTACCCCATGTTTCTAAATCCTTCTTTACCTGTTGCATCAATTTATCCTAATTATTTTCCTTGAATGTCTTACAATGTGCTGTCAACCATATTCCTAAGTATTTAGCTTTCTTTATCACTTGTATTTCCATAACTTCTTCTAACTCTATTTTCTGTTTTTCTGTTAAATTTTTAGTCATTAATTTAGTTTTCTTCCTATTAATTTTGAGTCCTGCTACTGCTCCAAATTGTTCTAATTCATTCATCAATTTTTGTCCTCTTTCTATTGGTTCCTCAATGAAAAAAATCATATTGTCCGCAAACGCTTGCAACTTATATTCTTCTTTCTTAACCTTTAATCCTTTTATATCTGGGTTCTGTCTAATTCGCATTAATAATGTTTCTAATGATAATATGAAGAGCAGGGGTGAGAGTGGGCAGCCCTGTCTGACTCCTTTTTCTATTTTTATTGGGCGGGTATATTCCCCATTTATTATAATATTAGCTTGTTGTGTATCATAAATAGTTGCTATAATATTTTCAAATTTGGTACCTAAATTCATATTATAAATTTTTTGGATTAAAAATTGCCAATTTAAATTATCGAAGGCCTTCTCTGCATCTAAAAACATAAGTGCAATTTGTTTTTCGGGGTGAGCTTCATAAAACACATCTAGTACTATTCTTAAATTGTTCCTAATTTGTCTGGTCGGGAGAAATCCATTTTGGTCTTCATGTATATGTGCATTTAGCATTCTTTTTAGTCTGCTTGCTATAATAGAAGTAAATATTTTGTAGTCGGTGTTTAACAGTAAAATCGGCCTATAATTGTTTATATATCGGGGATCCGAATCCTCCTTCGGGATCAGCGAAATCAATGCCCCCCTCCATGAGTCCGGCATCCTGGCTGCCAATAAAACATCATTAAAAACTTCCACCATAAGAGGTCCAATTTGTTCTGCAATTGCCTTGTACAGCTCCCCTGGAATCCCATCTGGGCCCAGGGTTTTGTTGTTTTTCTGGTTCTCTATTGCTGATTTCAATTCCAACCAAGTAATGTCTTTGTTTAATAGTTCTACCATTTCTTCCCAAATTGCTTTATCCTTCACTTCATCTAAATAGTTTCTTATTCTATCCCCATTAACATCTTCCTTTTTATATAAATCTTCAAAAGACTTATGAGCAATTTCTTTTTTTTTGTTCTATCTCCTGCTATATATCCCCCTTACTGTCTATTAGCTGATATATCAATCTCTATTCTTTCCTTTTTTTTAGTTTATAAAATAGCCATCTTCCTGGCTTATTAGCATGCTCGAAATAAGTTTGTCTAGTCAAATTCAAATTTATAATCATTTTCTCTTGTTCAATTAAATTCAATTTATGTTTAGCTATCATTATCTGATTTTGCAATTTTGAATCCTTTGGGGTACTCTGTAATTGAGTTTCTAGTTCCTTAATTTTTTGTTGTAATTTATTTTGCTGGGCATATTTTTCCTTATTCCTCTTGGCATTATAAGAGATTGTTATACCTCTTATTACTGCCTTCATTGTATCCCAAATGTTTTGTTTCGTAGTTACTCCATTATCATTTTCCTTTAAGAAATAATTTAATTCCTCCTTGAGTTTGTTAGTATAGTCTTTTTCTCTTATTAATTGAGTATTTAATGTCCATCTTTTCTTTGGTTTTTCCCTACCCTTCCATATTATCTGAATTGGATTATGTAAAATGATCTGCAATGTTATTCTCTGATATACAGTACTCCAGTTTAATCATTTTACTTTGCACACATTGTCTCACATTAAGATATCTTAGATCTGTGTGTTTTGATCTTGTCTTTACAGGAAGATTGGAAGCCATCTGTATTGCTGATTGGTTGTCTTCATAAACAACAATAGAATCTGTTACATCAATTCCCATATCAATCAATAGTTGCTTATGATAAACTAAATCCATACATAATAGAGATAAACATGAGAATTCAGCCTCCATTGTTGACAAACTTAGATGTTTCTGTCGAATAGACCTCCATCCAATCAACACTTTTCCTAATAATACTACAATACCTGATGTAGATTTACGTGTATTTACGTCTGTAGTGAAACTTGCATCGGCATATGCAGTTAAACTTAGTTCATCTTTAGGCTCCAAATATAATGCATAATGCATCGTTTGTTTCAGATATCTTAACACACGCTTAGCAGCTTGCCAGTCCCTTTCAGTTGGCTCAGCATTAAACCTAGCTAATTGGTTAATACTGTATGCTATATGTGGCCTTGATCAATTACTGAGATAAGATAAGCTACCAATCAAGGACTGATAAATATCTTTATCAAAAACAGGACTTTGAACATTACTGTGGCTAAACTCCTGGCTTATCAGTGTTTTAGCTGGTTTACAAAGTTCCATTTTAAAATTCTTCAGTAACTGGTTAATTTTATCTGCCTGTGAGATTTTGTATCCTCCCCTAGTTTTATCTCTTTTTAAACAAAGATATTGTTTAATTTCACCTAACTGTTTTATCTTAAATTTCTTTTCTAATAGTGAAATCATCTCAGTAGCTTCTTGCTCAGTTTTGGTGATTAATGCTATGTCATCAGTAAACAATAGCAACCATAACTCACGACCAGCACACAGATACACTGAATAGTAAAATGTAGGTTTTACTTCCGGTAAACGGTTAAGCAAAGTCCAACAAGCAGTCCAAGTCATACATGGTTAAAGCAGTCAGTATTAAAGCAGTCCAGGGATAATCCAAATAACAAAGTCCAGTATCATGAACAGTTCAGTAAATAGACTCACAGCAATCCAAGAAGAACAATGATCAGCAACAGTCAATAGGGAAAAATGCAGGAACCAAAAACAGCGAACAACAGAACATTGACCAACTAGCAACTAACAACAGAACAGAATAACCCAGGTTTCTGGCTCCATCTTATGGCCGTTTGAGGAACCACACCCAATTACAACTTTAGCATTCCCTTAAAAGACAGTATTAAATGTCTATTCTGGTTTATATATTTCCAACCCAACTGTTAGGTGACTAGCAATTCCTAACAAGGGAGGCTAACAATAAATTAATACATAGATTAAAAACAGACTAAAATTACATAATAGATAGAACCAAAACAATACTTCCAAAGTCTGTTGAAACAATCTGTCCAACTCTAGGTCTCAGAAAAGACCTGGGTCTTAAGCAACTTTCTGAAAACAAGGGGAATGGAAATGAGTGATATCTCTTTGGAGACGGGATGCTATATCAGACAGTAGAGGTTGAAACATAAAGCTTCTTTTTCTCATTCTCATCAGATGACTTTTCATTGAGAGTACTTGGAGTGCACTGACTCTGAACACAGTGGACTGGCAGAAATAGTCTCAAATAAATAGATTGTATACCATGATGTCTTTATACAGTAAGTAGTGACTAGAACTTTGAATTGCACCATCTGAAGGGCATCTTGTTCTACAATAGAGTGCAACTGGTCCATATGGTTTACTCATGCTGAAATTCTCTTGTTTACCTGCCACCTGACTTTCAAGGAGTAGTTGCAACTATAGGTTATCCCCCAACGTACACACTAGTTTCAAATGGAAAAGTGCAAACTCCAACAAATCAAATATAAAAATGTCCTTTATGTGTGTTGGATCAAACATTTTTCTCAAGATTGAGTCAAACTCTTTCCTACACTCACTCAGACCTGAACAGTCATCTGACACTGGGTCAACGTATTGACAGAATCAACTGCATAGCTTGGGGTTGAGAAGTACAACTGGTATCATTCATATACTAATGACACAAACCCTGAACTAAGGATGATCTAAGCTTCAATGTAAATAAGGCAGGATGATGGCATTGATACCTGATGTACCTTACAAGATATTTCACTTCATTAAGGTCAATCCAGATAACACCATAACGTGATCGCCCAGGTTGCTCATTTGGACCTGTCCAAAATCCAATCTGAGCAATTGTAGCCACCAAATAGCATGTATACTTTTTCCTGTAGTCCTGAAGAGGTCAAATTGTGACCTGGTCCTCCACAGCGAAAGGGATCAACCTAAACAAGGCCACCAGTTGTTTATCAGATGACATAATAAATACAAAAAGTGTGATATTTTAGCACTCTTATCACCATGATGCATCCAGTTGCAGACTCTAACTTGTTTTTAGTGAGATTCACTCCTTTCCTAATCCAACCATACTACGTGTCTGTTCTGCCACTTCATCTCCTGGAGCTCATTGAAAAAGCAAGACCTGAAGCACAGTGAAAGGCTGCACAGAGGAACAATACAATATATACTCAAATAAATCTATCCTCAAGATTATACTCAACTAACATGTATGATATCATGTGATTAAAAACCCTATTTTTCATTATATTCTTACAAATAATGGACACCGTATAATGCCATGACTCTAGTAGCAGTAAACATTTATAGAAATTCTTTTTAAGTAATCATACCTACATTCCATAATTGCTAGGATACCTAATACAACACAGCTTAAAGAATAATAGCCAGTAACTTAAATGGTTTATTAATGTTTTCTCTGTGTGAGTAGTTCTCTGTGGTTTAATTCAGGTTTCAAGAGAATTATGTAGCATTTCGGGAAAAATATACAACTGAGTAACCCAGCACTAGAGGCTAAGATAGAAAAAATCTCCACAGCTACCACATATTTTCCTTTTGTGCTCAAATAGGCTGGAATGAAAGCTAACCAAACACTGCAAAAGACCAACATGCTGAAAGTGATTAGTTTGGCTTCATTGAAAGTGCTGGGGAGTTTCCTGGCCAGAAAAGCCACTATAAAACTGGCCACCGCCAGGAAGCCCATATAGCCCAGGATGCAATAAAACATGCACACTGAGCCTTCATTGCATTCTAGTATAATTTCTTCAGTGACTGAAATCATATCAGCTTCTGGGAAGGGGGGGGCCTTTGCCAGCCACAATATACCAATGACTGCTTGGAGAAGAGAGCAGGAAAGTACAATGGAGGTTGACAATTGTTTCCCTATCCACTTTTTCATCCTGGATCCTGGCTTGGTGGCCAGGAAAGCTAAAACCACAATGATGGTTTTGGCCAAGACACATGATACAGCCACTGAGAAGATGAGTCCAAAAGTGATTTGCCGAAAGAGGCATATTATAGCCCCAGGTCTAAAAAGGAATTGCAATGCACAAAGGAAGCAGAGCTGGAGAGAAATTAGAAGAATGTAGGTGAGATCTCGGTTGTTTGCTTTGACAATGGGGGTGTGGTGATGTTTCAAAAATATTCCAAAAATTACAGCTGTGAATAAAAAAAAGAAGAGGGCCACAATAGTAAAAGCAAGGCCTAAAGGTTCTTCATAAGTCAAGGAAGTTATTGTCTTAGCAATACATGCAGTTTTGTCTTTGCTTGCATATTGATCTTCTGGGCATCCTATACAATAGTCAGCATCTAAAAAAATGGAAAGTTGCATTCTCTTATTATTTTTTCACATATGTTTCTATCCTCAGTAGTACAAAATTGTGATTATTGTATATTTATATTTTAGTTTTATTTATAATTATATTTTAGTTTTAAATCCAGTTTATTACTGTTCATTCTGGAGAAGACCTAGTTATGTGATTACTAAAGATGACCCTTCCTTGATGGCATACAATCAATGGATCAATTATTTATGGTATCATACTTACAATTCTAATACTTTGATAATGAGAAAAAAATGTCAAGCAATCTAAACCTTTCCTTCTTTTTTATTTAATCCATGCTTTAGAATATTTAAATAAGAATATCACATCTCTAAATCACTAGAAGGTTGTACTCATGTTCAAAACAACATAAAGAAAAACTATTTACAGGTCTTCACTGAACATGTGCATATTATAAAGAAAAGAATATGGAATGCATTGTTTTATTATTAATTATTCTAGGTTAATTTTTATAAATAATATACTTAAAACAAGATTTCTCTAGTTCAGCTAACTTAGAATTTCACTGTGAAATCTGAACAAATGTGTCTTAGATTATTAATTATAATAGTTGCATTATACCTAATTGATATTGCTATAACAAAATCCTGTGATGAAATATATTAAATGTTTCAGATACAGATGTGTTAAATTAAAATAATAAGTTTGAATAATCCGTGTACTCCTTTTCTGCCATCAACTTAGTGTACAGTATGTGCTTGGTTATTACCACCATACAGAAGGAAAGCAAAGTATCATACTTTTTGTGTGATAGCTCTTACCAATCTTGCCTGACAATTTTCCTTCAGGACATATGATACAGTCATAGCAACAAGGTTGTTTCTCCTTTTGCTTTTGCTTGAAATAACCAGGATTGCATCTAGCAGAACAAACAGATGTAGGTATAGTCTAATCCATAAATGAAAAAAAATAAAACTTTACCATTCACGAAAAATATTTGAATACATTCAGAGCACAAGTTTGGATTTTTAAAGACTGATAAGTCTGCAGAAATTACTGAATTACCCATCTGGATATAAGTTGGGATATGATATAGATATATTTATGACATTTACATTGAGTTCATACTGAGTTTCTGTAACATTTATTTCCTTAGCATTTTAGGATTGTAAAAAACTTCAAAGGGATATTTTGTTTCAATCAAAGTCCATACAAAGTATCCCTTAAATATGCTTTATGAAATGAAATGCTGTCTTGCTTGATATTGCTCTCTTTGGAAGACCATCCAGAATTTTTTCACTCTAAACGGATTCAGCTAACTGTGTTTGCCTATATTTGTAGGTGAATTACTAGCTTTTTGCAACAGATGAAGCTAAAGAAAATTATGTCTAATACATCTAAAACTCAGGCAATTAACACAAACACCCCTCAGGACTCTGTTCTCTCTCCATTGCTTTTATTTAAACACATATAGCAATGACTGCATCTCTAGGGTTCTCTCTGTTAAAGTACTGGAGTTTGCAGATGATACAACAGTCATTGATCTAATTCAAGATTATGATGATTCTGCAACTGGCCCTGACGTACAGCCAGAACAATCTGCAACTGAACATGCTTAAAACTGTACAGATCAGAGTGGATTTTAGCAGGATCCCTTTGATTCTACTACCTCTTACTCAACAGCACAGCTTCAGCAGTTGCATCCTTCAAGTTTTGGGGTTCTATAATCTTCCAGGATTTGACACCTAACATTAGAACCATTATGTACTCTTTAGATCAGGGGTGGGCAAACTTTTTGGCTCGGGGGCCTCATTGACTTTTAAAATTTGACAGACGGGCCACCACCTGGTGTCGAAATGCCTGTCATTACAAGTCAAAATCAAATGAATGCAATCATTCAATCATTCATATCAAACCTTAATTCTGTACCAATCTTCGGCGGGCCGGATTAAAAAGACCAACGGGCCGGATGTGGCCCGCGGGCCGTAGTTTGCCCACCCCTGCTTTAGATAGATAGATAGGTAGATAGATAGATAGATAGATAGATAGATAGATAGATAGATAGATAGATAGATAGATAGATAGAAGATAGATAGATAGAGATATACAGAAATTATAGATATAGATATTGTACTTGTTTGTGCAAATATTGATATATCTCCTGCCACCTCATTGTATTCTGGTTCCTAACTGATCTGAGTTCTGTTAATGTTAATGTTTTTAATATTTAATATTTTTGCTTTCATTATATTTTAAGCTGCCTAGAGTTACCTGACAGTGAGATGGATGATATATAAATGTAAGAAATAAATAAGTGTTCATGTAGATATGTATATGATTTTATATATACTATTTTATAATTTAGTAATGATAATTTTAATTTAATTAATTTAATTTTAATATATAGTATACATAGTACATTATGTAGAATACGTAATATCTCTCTATCTGTCTATCTTTCTGTCTGTCTGTCTATCTATCTATCTATCTATCTATCTATCTATCTATCTATCTATCA